GAAAGGAAGGAAGGAAGAAAAGAAGGGAGGGAGGAAAGGAAGAAGAAGGGAGGGAAGAAGGGAATGAAGGACGAAGGGAATGAAAGGACATAAGAGGAAGTAGCAGGAAGAGACGAAGGAAGTGGGGAGGGAGAGAAGGAAAAAAGGAAGGACGGAAAGTAAAAAAAAAAAACCAAAGCAAGCGGAAGAAGAGCAATAGATAGGACTCCAAATAGTTGCATGCCCAGTAGAAATGTAGATGTTCCTTAAAAATAAGGGAGACAGAGACCAAAAGAACATGAATAAACAGAACATTTGCTTAAGGAATATAGGTGGCTGGTATGTAGTGCAGGTTGTTTCAAGAAAAAACTATAGAAAAATAACTATTTAAACTAAATAAGTCATTATAATCTGACATATTGAAGGAAATGTCTCTTCTCTCAATCTCATTCTCATTCATCACTCCTTAAAAGGCTCTTGTGTTGGCTTTTGTGATACACCATAGCATCCAGGCCCTCTCTTTGATATGCTGACTCTTTTGCTCTAATTTTTCTAATACTTCCCATCCCCGTGACTTTTATGGTCACCAGATATGCAGTCCTTAACCTTCCATTTGTTTCTTTTTTCATGAGGAGTCTCAAGAACGTCATTGGTCCTCAGATCCCAACAATCACTTCTTTGCAAATGACTCCACAAATCCTTATTTTCAGTCTCGGCCTCTATTCTCACCTCCAATACATTTCCTAAGGTAATGTTATTTGTAAATTTTTTCTCCTTTGCCCTGAAAAGTATTTTCTCCCCTACCTGATTTGCCTCTTTGTGTCAGGGCTACAATCATTATCTCTATCACCGGGATTTTTCAATTAATCTTTTTTTTTTTTTTTTTTTTTTTTTTTTGAGACGGAGTTTCGCTCTTGTTACCCAGGCTGGAGTGCAATGGCGCGATCTCGGCTCACCACAACCTCCGCCTCCTGGGTTCAGGCAATTCTCCTGCCTCAGCCTCCCGAGTAGCTGGGATTACAGGCACGCGCCACCATGCCCAGCTAATTTTTTTGTATTTTTAGTAGAGACGGGGTTTCACCATGTTGACCAGGATGGTCTCGATCTCTTGACCACGTGATCCACCCGCCTCGGCCTCCCACAGTGCTGGGATTACAGGCTTGAGCCACCGCGCCCGGCCTTTCAATTAATCATTTTTAAAAAATTTTCTTATTTACCCAAATTCCCTTTTCTCCTACTTCTGAAATATGCAAGGTTTTATTACACCTTACCCTTGAAACTGCAATGATCTCCCTCTGTCAAGTCTCTTTACAACAAGCCATCTGATATACTGCAGCTAGGAGTACCTTTCCTGAGCACACAATTTGACCATGACCAAACTCAATAGCTCAGCTTTCACGTTGTCTACCAGGGATAAAAGCATCTGGTATATACAGGGGTTAGGAATGAGTCAGAGTAAGTAAAATGCAACAGGGAGTGGCGAGGCATGTGGCAAACTGGAGAGTGCGTGACATTAAAATTTCACTGATTAGGTCCTAGGAAGGCCAAATAAAACCTAAGTGAGAGAGAGAAAGTGAGAGGTAGAGAACGTGAGCGCCTGTAAGTCACCAGTTTGCTATCTCTGTGCCTCCACAATATGACCACCACCAAGCTACTAATCTTTTATATGCTCTTTCTCATTGCTGCCCTATGACTTCTTATCTACACCAGAAAAATAAAGACATTATCCTTTATATACCTCGAGGCTTTGGCCATCATTCTCTTATCCTAGGCCTCTCTAACTGAATCTTACTAGCGTTTCAAAGGCTAGAACACTTCTTCCAGGAAGACCACCCTAACCACAGCCCACACTAACCTATAGTTCACCTTCTGTGAACCTCTATACCAGGATAAAACAAAATAAATAGGGTTACGTAATACACCAATTATATTTACGTAGTTATCAACATATTTACCAAAACAGTGATATGATAGATGTGCTAGATTAAAGCATTAAAAATAAGATCTAGTCACAGCTCTAAGTACTGTAATTTTGAAGTATTAATGACTGTAACAGTATTTCAAGATATCTGCCACGACTATAATGTGATATGAAAATATTTATTATTTCTATTAGTGAAAAAGTTAGAGGTACTATTAATACTACTTTGGTCCGTTGCCTACACTCTTAATTAAATAATATGCTAAATATTAATTAGAAGCTAATAAAAACAAAGATGTAATACTTTTCACATACAAGTTCAGGACCACTTGAATTCTCTCCATGGTTCCCAAAAGAGGGCTTTGAATTCCAGGTTACCAACCCATGCTTTATCATGTCTTTAATAATTATTCTGCAGTAACAGCATACTATCTTTAATGTTGATCATTTTTTTTCACATATTCCTTAAGAAAGTAAGTATAAACTCCCTACCTAAATGACATTTCCTCAGCATTTAAGAATCATTTCCATTCACTAATAATCTCAAATAGAGCATACTTTTATTTTTCTTTTCACAGATGCGTCACTTTTTTCAAATGCCAGTTTCATTACTATGTCAGTCCTCTATATGTAAGTGTGTCTACACATATTTCTGTTTTACCACTGTTATCCTAAAAAGCACTGACTGACTGGTCTTAGATTTTTCTCTCAATATAGCAAATTAAATTATACTGAAACAAATTTTGAAGGCTAGAATAATAATTCTAAAAGTCACCAAAATTTAGTACACATTATTTGACAGTAACTCATAATTACATATATTAAAGACTCTTTAACAACCTCAGGATATGGTGTACTTTTAAATGTTTCTATGTGCTACTGCAAATATTTCAGTACATTTCAACTTTTCCCACATAGCGAACTCATTTTCTAGCTTAAATTTAGATATTTTGAAATAAAAGGAAAATTGATATTTATTAATAACCTTCAACTTGGAGCTTGATCTTGCTGATTAAATAAAAGAATAAAAGGTGTTTTTTGTTTTTTTTTTTTAAGTAAGGCATTTATCCTACCACATAACTAAAATCTATTAGTTGTCTGCCCAGCAAGAGCATATTGACCCATACTAGAAGAGATAATACTACTACTGTTAATTCAAGTCTCTGGGAAGTGATGTATGCTTAACTGTTTTTTTGTTTGTTTTTGTTGTTATGAGGAGACAGCCATGCTACATGAGCAAAAACTATAATTATGCATGGATGGAGTTTAGCACTGTAATCAAATAGAACTTACAACAAAGTTAATCTGATGATACACATTTAATGCCATGCATTATTGATGTGCTACATGGTAATTAGACTTAAATGGTAAACAGCTCATATGAACGGCAAATTGATGTTACTTTTCCATCACTGAAACAAATGTTCTGGAATTGAGTGGGGGAGAAAAAGGTGCTGATGATTATAGTCTTTTCTCCTGACAGACGGAAGCCATCTCTTGTGGGGACTAGAAAACCATGTAATTATTTCAACTCAGGAACATCCATCTTCCTTTCCAGAAGATACTCAGACATGTGATTTGTCTAGATGAAAGCAATACTAACCTTAGTAACTCAGGTGAGTTACTCACCACTTAGGCCCTATACCTGTTTCCCAAGTAGCACAAATTCCAATTATGTACATTATACTACATGTTAAACTCTTTTCTTCCCACAAGCCAAACTAAGAAAATGGGTTTTGATCGAACAGGGTAAGGATTGAGAAGAAACTTTAAGAGTATCTGACACCGAGAAGGAAAGCAAGTTGGCTTTAAAAAGTCCTCAGCAAACAGATGGCACGAAATTGGTGGGTAAAGCAGGAAAGGGGTAAAATGTACAGATATGTGAAAAAGGAAAAGAGATAAAGCCTTAGAAAAGGTAATGGAGATCTAAAAACTAGGAAGAGATGACATAGGTCATCTCATTAAACCTCAGTCCTATTTAAAAAAATTCTGCCTAGATTTAAAACATATATATGAGATAAACTTTAATGTAAGCCTACAATCCAAAATAGAGGAGCTTCCACAGAGACATCATTTGCTCAAATTATATACACAGGTTCTCAGAGATTTAGAGTTTGCAGGGAACGTGGCAAAATTTTTAAAGCTATAGCATAAACTATTTGAAGATTTGATGTTTTCTAAAAAATCAAAACCAACTGCATGGCTCAAAAACAAAAGACAACAACAAAAAAAGAAAAACAAAAAACTACAATGATTATACCCTTCCACAAAAATCTTTACAGTTATTCCTTTCAGAAATTAAACCAGATAGGGTCAGACATACCAATAATTCAAATGTGTTAGATCTGTATAGCCCTTTATCATATAAAGCACTTTATTTGGTTAAATCCTCACAATGACCCTGTAATTTCAAATGAGGAAATAGAGGTTTAGAAAGATCCATTTGTTCATGTAAGGCACAATAATATGACAGCTTTAGAGTTAAGATAGACATTGTTTTGAATCCCAGCTCTGCTACTTTGCCACTTAAAAGCATTGTGAAATTGGGCAATCTGTCTAAACCTCAGTTTCCTTATTTGTAAAATGAGAGTAATAGTGCCTATCTCATAGGATTATTGTAGGATTCAATGAAATAAAAACTACAGAAAGTGCTGGACATAATCAGCAATACATGTTAGATACTCAAACAGAGTTGGGTAAAAGTTAGATGCTCAACTTAACAATGGGTATGTTAAACACTCACTTATTTTCAGCAAGCAATTTAACCTCTTGACCCCTCAGCTTTTTCACCCATAAAATGGTAATAACAATATCTATTTAATGGAGCCATTGTGATGATGAAATATGTATAATTGTATGTACAATGAATAATGGAGAATGATATATAGCTAATAAATAAGTGGCAGGAACAGAATCAGAAGCTAGATCTTCTATACTTAGTCCTCTTACTATCAACACAGTTAGATATTCCTGATTTTATCAAATTACTCAACATCTTTTAAAAAATCTAAATATAGAAGAGAATTTTCTTACAACTCCATTGAGAATAGTCTAAAGACATCCATGGAAAGAAATCAAAAGGAAAATAAGTACAAGTTACCTGAATTAAAGCCTCACTCAGCATGTCTTCATTAACCTCCAGAATCACATTTCTTATCTCTTCATATGGCATGCGATATGATCCCAGAAAGATGGCTAAAATAAAATTTGATTTTATTAAAAGTAGAATAGCATCAACATGTTAAAGTCCTAATAAATGCCTGATTTTCGTTTCATAGACTCAAAATATGCAATTTGTCACTAATACTAATTTACAGAATTGTGAACAAACAAAAAGGCGTTCCATTTGATGGACTACTCACTCTATCTATCTAGACAAAATGGCCTATTTTTTCAAGCTCTAATATTTACAGTTAGTGCATATTTACACACAAAACAAAATTCCTACTAATAGCACTCATGACTATATGCTTAGGCTTTTCAGATTAGGATGATACATAAAATAATCCATAAAAACTTAGAGATTTTATTTGAGGTTGACCTTTTTATTCAATGAAGAATTTAGTGTGGAGATTGTCAGATGCATCCAACACGGTATTTCTCAGGAAAGACAAAATAACCAAATAAAAAATCATATCAGGCCGGGTGCAGTGGATCAAGCCTGTAATCCCAGCACTTTGGGAGGCCGAGGCGGGTGGATCACAAGGTCAAGAGATCGAGACCATCCTGGTCAACATGGTGAAACCCCGTCTCTACTAAAAATACAAAAAATTAGCTGGGCATGGTGGCGTGTGCCTGTAATCCCAGCTACTCAGGAGGCTGAGGCAGGAGAATTGCCTGAACCCAGGAGGCGGAGGTTGCGGTGAGCTGAGATCGCGCCATTGCACTCCAGCCTGGGTAACAAGAGCAAAACTCCGTCTCAAAAAAAAAAAAAAAAATCATATGAATCTACTCTGCAATTCTCCCACATAAGAAAACAATTAAAGTGCCTGAATCAACAGTGTGCCCTGCGTTCCCGCTTATATTCCTGCGGTACACTGTTACTTACTTTATATACTGACTCACAATTTCCCCTGCCAACATTTTCTTAAACGGAAATCTATCATATCACAGTAGAATAATTCAGCAAATTAAACCTAGACTAGCTAACAATTACTCACAAGGTAATTAAAACAACATGTTCCATTACACATTATTTTTTTAAAGAACATAGATGTGCTCTTATCACCAGAACTTGAACATTTCTTAGAACATTTTTTTCATGAAAAGGTCTCTATGCCTTCAGCTGTACCAAAAGGAAACAGAATCCTCACTCTATAGGCAAATGATTTACATTACATATAAGACCAAATCAGATCCCCACAATCTAAAACAACAATGTTGACAGATATCAACCAGCAATTAAGATCATACTAGGTTTTAAAGTACTGAACGTCAACTTTGAAAATGTACTATCAAGTAAGCAATGCACACATTCACAACAGCTATTAGTAAACTGCTTTTCTGATAGCAACATTTCTACTGACATGAAAATGATGTGTTGTTTATTTTAATGATTCCCTACACCACATTCCTTAACAAAATAAACTCCCATGGTATTACTTTGTGCAATTAGAAATGCTTGACATGTTGAAATTTCTGATGCACAGTGTTTCACTATCAGCGAAATCTAAACGCAGTCTACTGTATTGACAGAACAAAAATTCTGAATTCAAGACAGAGGGAAGAGTGTGTTGAAACTTAAAGGCCTACATAAATGAAGATGAGTTTAACTGTCCATTCGCTTTAGCAAAAGTATATTTAATGGCTGATTGGTTTGTTAAAGGCTTCAAGGTTCACTAACCAGTTTTTAAATGCAGTTAAGGTTAACAATTTAACTAGTTCACATGACAATTACTTCAAACATAAAGGAATAGCAGTAAAAGGATTTGCCCAGTGTAACAAGTGAATACTCTAAAACTATCAATCCCAGGTCTAGGCAGAAGGAAAAAAATGTCACTTTTTGTCATTTCTGCCTTATGTGTCACTATGTCCTCTAACAATGTTTTACTATCAGTACTTTCCAAATCTTTACTATTCACAAGTTTCATGTGGGCTCACCGAGGCTGAATTACAATTTTCTCCATACTGGCTAAGTGAAAAAAAGGCATCCAAATCATGTTTACAACAAATTTTGTTTCTAGAAGATGCTGAATATGCCTGTTTAAAAAGGTTACAACGAGGCGGGTGGATCACGAGGTCAAGAGATCGAGAACATCCTGGTCAACATGGTGAAACCCCGTCTCTATTAAAATATAAAAAAAAATTAGCTGGGCATGGTGGTGCATGCCTGTAATCCCAGCTACTCAGGAGGCTGAGGCAGGAGAATTGCCTGAACCCAGGAGGCGGAGGTTGCGGTGAGCCGAGATCGTGCCATTGCACTCCAGCCTGGGTAACGTGAGTGAAACTCCGTCTCAAAAAAAAAAAAAAAAAAAAAGGTTACAACTTTGATTAAATACATTAAACAGCCCCCACCCCTCTCACCACTACCTATAACAACCCTACTAAGAAAATATTACATACACAGATTCTGAGCTGTTTTGGGATCCAAAATTCTCAGTTCTTTCACTTTCTTCTTTGTAGGCGCAGTCTTCTTCTCTTCTAATGTTTCTACATTCTTTTGAACTGAAAGAAAAAAATGTTGATTCATAAACAATAATGGTACTAATCCAAGTACATGGAATAACATTAGTAAGGCATATTAACTACATTAATAAAGCTCATTCTGAAATCAATAAAAGTGTTCATTTCATTAGTTCAAGGAAGAGGATAAACATAAAAATACAGACCTGTTTAGAGTTTTCACTACAAATTAAATATCAGCACTTAAGCAGAAAAGATAAGCCAAATAGAACCAAAAATCAATTGCTCCTTCTTACCTAATGTGTAACATTAATTACTCCTTTACCAGGTACCTACAGCAGTACTGGAATTAAATATATAGTACAGTTTCACTAATTTGAACTAATTGAGGGAAAAGGAAGACATGCATTTCTCTTAAAGTATGCTAAAATTTAAGCATTTCTTTAATTCAGTGAAATTGCTTTAAAGCACCTAAGGTAAGTTTAACTACTAAACAGGTTGCCATATAAAAATTCCTGTTGAGATGGTTTTGAAGAATAGGTATGAAGCATTTGCAAGTTATACAACAGTAGCACCATTTGCATACATGTGATTAAAGAGACTCAGTGATGTGGTCTTTTGAGTAAGTCAGCTTTGTCTCCCTCACTATTTGAAAAATACTATTTGCTTTCTTACAACAGATTTACTTTGCTTTCTTCAGAAGGTAATCATATAATTCAAAATAGTTTAAAGGACTGAAGGTGTAAGGAGTAACTGTGCCAAGGAGTGGCTTTAGCCTTCCATAACCTCCATCAGCCAACTGCCCAAGCCAGCCAGCCCAAAAAGCAATGTGGCTATCTGCTATGAAAATAAAGCATTAACATAAATCCCCAAAGCCCTCCTGTACAGAAATTTTATAGCTACCATTGTACTCAAGTGTTGGCAGTTTACTTTTTCCAATATAAAAACAGGGTTGTAAGTAATGGGACCATCTAAAACTATGAGAAAAAAAAGCCAAAACTTTTTCAGTAAAGTAGAGTGTTAGGTCCTTGTCCCCAAATTCATGCTGCTAAACTGCATCACTGGTTCATATATGACCATAATCATGCTGCTGCTTTATCAATGTTAAAAGATAACTTCATTTTGAGGCAATAATGATATCATTTTAATTCATCTAACCTTTTTTAAAAAGACCACAAATGCATTATTGATTTTCTTTTCTTTTTGAAAGAAAAAGCAACATAAAGCCACCGTACATTTTTACTAAAGCAATATGTTCATAGATGTTACCATCTTGAAAACTTTTGCAACATCCTATAGAATTCATCAAAATATTGCAAGTCCGTTAAGACTTCCTTTGTTTTAACGGTACAAAATATAGAAAAGTTAAGTGAGCATACTACAGAAATACCAGATACTAATAAAATAAATTACCTGAATAACTAAAGTCCTACCAGTGCTAAATTTTATCATACTGGCCAATCTAAAGTTATACGCAGTCTAAAGAGACTGGATAATAATCACACTTAAAAATTATGATCTTATGAGACATGGCAAGCAGTTTGCCATGTGAATTCAACACAATAGTCATTGCTACTGCTGGAAGAAAAGTGACTTTTAATGTATTTCTTTTAAATTATATTAAAAGAACATAGTTTATATTTACATTTATCTGTATATATTTCTAAACGTATGTTTTAAAATATATTTAAAAACACATCTCAAATATTCTTCAAAGGCTCTTTCTAAGAGCATAGAGTCTTTCATATGCAATAATCAACATTTTAATTTACTCTATCAAGCTAGTTCCAGCTTAAGAAAACTGTACATAAGGAAATGACAGTCCAATAGTTATTTCCTTTGTCTGTAAAATGTGAAGTATCTGAATCATATTGAAATTACTTCTAGAATCATTGACTAATTTGAATCCAGTCAAGGGAATAGTCAAGAAAATTTTCCTAATCTCCCAATATGCCTTAGAATTCACTATAAGAGACTAATTAGCCAAGGACATATATGAAAAAAATGCTGTCATGAAGGACCTACAAAGATGGTTCTGCAAACTAACAGGATCCTGACTAACTCAGGAATAGATAATGCTCATTTCATGACTTTATATTTTTGTATTTTTTAAAATTAAAATATGGTCTAGCCTCTCCCCTTTTCAAGTGAACGAATTGTTTAAAATTAAGATTAGATGCCCTAAATACCTATACTTCGCAGTTTTCTTTCTTGAATCCTAATGTATTTTCCTTGTGTTATACAACTTGGCTTAAATCCTGGGCTCAAAAAGTGATAAGTATTCCATGAGAGGGCACTGCTTTTTTGAGAATCACTAGAGAAAAACAAGTTTAAAACAGTTCTCTAACTAGACAGCCTTTCAAAACTAATCATATTTTTGCCATGATAAATAATTACAGACCAGTGGCTATTATTGCCTTTGGCCTTCTTGTTTTCTAAAAGCATTCCTTAGGGATCACAATCACAGGCTTAGATAAATAGAGAGTTCAAAGAACAGCAATGTGACATCAAACATCCCTACAGTGTTGAACACTTAGGTTAAAAATTGCTTGCTTTTATAGTGACCTCAAAATGTCACTTGTCCTAGGATATTTTTATTCTGTATGTTTCTAATGGTTACAAAACTTTAAATAAATAACAATTCTATAATTATTGAAATTACTTGGATGAAACTAAAAAGTTTTTTTTTTTAAGTTTCGATATAAAAACTTCAAGAATTGATTTTATCATCAACTGCCCTGAGGTCCTTAGGTTCATAAGGAGGACTAGAGTCAAACATGACCTTCCCTTACAAATGAAAAAACATGGTTTTGAAAAAACTAGGTTTGAATCCAATAGATTGAATTAATTTGAGTGTGTAAATTGGCACTGCTAACTGACAAAATAATAATGAAACATTATAAAATACTGTCTGCAGGAAGATAATCATAATAATAAAGACATTTGTATTATTATTAAAGACATGTTAATATCAAGATACTCATCATTTAAGATAAAATGCCTACTGAGTATTCTTATATTTCCTTTAATACATGGGTTTTTACAAGCAATTGTACTATAAATGTATTCCTTTATGACTGAGAAATGCTCATCAGCATAAATAAAGTAAACATGGTTATATTCTTCCCCCAAACTAATATAGGCAATGTTCAGGAATTTCCTATTAATTTCTGCTATCCCAGTGGATACACAGAACATGTGACAAGATGTTCTAATTTGTAGCAAGTATTAAGATATTTTAAATAGGTAACATTGGATGATTTACATAGTGACAACTAACCATGAATCATGATAAAATTTGCAAAACTATTTTAAAATTTCAGTGAGAAAGACTGATTTCTATACTCAGAATCACATTCATTCATCTACCAAATATTTCTTGAACACCTACAATGAATTAGCCTAGCATGAGCATACAATGGTACGCAACACATAAATATCTACTCATACCTCATGGTCATATGTAAACCACTAATTATGGAAGTATTCCCACAAGGTATCTAACATTTATACTTTTCTTTATGCATAAAAATATAGCTTGGATGAATACATGCACATCACTGAGTGAATTCTCATTATGTTACTGCAAGCATAGTTCCATATTAGGGAACATCATATCTTTGAATCAGCATTACATTATGTGCTGCATCATAAGAAATATGAGGAAAATTAAAAGCATGTCCCTTCTTATAAGGTATGCTATATACAGGCCGGGGGTGGTGGCTCACTTCTGTAATCCCAGCACTTTGGGAGGCCAAGGTGAGTGGATAGCATGAGGTCAGGAGTTCGAGACCAGCCTGGCCAACATGGCGAAACCCCGTCTCCACTAAAAATACAAAAATTAGTCAGGTGTGGTGGCACGTGTCTGTAATTCCAGCTATTCAGGAGGCTGAAGCAGGAGAATCACTTGAACTCAGGAGGCAGAGGTTGCAGTGAGCCGAGATCACACCACTGCATTCCAGCCTGGGCAACAAGAGTGAAATTCTATCTCGGGGGGGAACAAAAAGAACAGTACATACAAAGCCAGGGTAAATAAAGCTAATAATTGTAGTGCCAACAGACACACTGAAAATTTATGTAACTTCATGGATACATATTTGTATATTTAACAAGTAAAGGCCCAACTGTACTTTTACATATAACACAGAAATATAAGAATTGTGATCCATATATACTTAAATACATATTTTATTCATGTGGATACAATTCCAGAGGTGATTCCAGCTACATGGAAATAATTTTTTAACATACTGGTTGAAATGGTATTTTAATTTCAATTAATGACTTGATAATATTAAAATGAGTACAAGAATGGCAATGAAAGATATGGAAAATCGACTGGCTTTTGTGTGTCATAGGTTTACGTATTTTTTTGTTATTTTCTACTCTATTCTAAATCATCTTTATCTATGCATTTCTGAAAATATCATTTGAACCTGATGGAAAAGGGCAAGGAAGATTAGATCAACAGAGAAATACATACGCAACACACAACAGATGACAGTATTACAAAAACAACAATAACAGCAGTAGCAGTAGTTTTACTACTGGTAACCACCAATACAATCTTCACGAGCACCTCCAAAAGCAATTTTTATTAAATATTTGCTCTGTATCTGGTATTAATTTTTATACCATTTTATATGATAGGTATTAACCACTGCCATTTTACAAATGAGGAAATTAAGTACAAATTTAATCATTTGCCCAAGGTCAATATAGCTAGTAATGAAAACATGCTCAACTTCAGCAGTGACCAGGGAAATGCAAATGAAAATAACCAAAGAAATGCTATTAATAGTCATCAAATTGAAAATTTGATTATGACAACAGTTGACAGTGAATATTCAACAATGACTTAAAATATTCATGTATCTAATATATTTGAAGATATGTATGCTTGTCATAAATATATCCCAACATTTCCACTTGTAGGTCAAACGGTCAAGGAGACACAAATGTTCACTGCAACAGTGTTTATAACAGTAGAACAATTATAAACAGTCCATGTGCCCAGGGGTTATGAAATGGATAAATTGTGG